GCATGTGGGGACAAACCTTCTATGTCGAGGGGAGAAGATAGTAACCTTCTTACTGGAGAAAGTCGGAGGCTTAGGGGCAGACGTCTTCTTCACAAACACTATTTTGGACGTTGAGCTCTCACCAATATAGCCAAGGCCATGTCGATCACCACTCACTTTTCCTATTGAGAGAATGTGATCCAATTTTGTAGTGCCAGAATTCATCATCTTCAATGACTTTTGAGTGTGCTCTAATTCAGCTCTTGTTTCCTGCAGCTTTTTCTCCTTTTCAACAACCCAAAATTCATAGTTTACAGCAGCCCTCTTAAGTACATCCTTCTCTTTAATAAGCTCATCGACTTGCTCCCGCAAAAACTTATTCATTTTAACCACCAAAACCCATTTGTTGAACATGGTTTCATATGCCTACTGGATTTTCTCCTCAGTCAGTTCTTCACCATCACTGGAACCGTCAAAATCTGAAAAATCTCTATTTTCTTCTGGTTTTCCAGAGTATGTTGCAAATGATGTTGCAACATGAGCTGTGACACGATCTGTAACACTGCAGTTTGGAACATCTTCGTAGACATTGAACGCAACATAGTTGTTCATATGATCATCATCTTCTTGGTTGCCTTCAGAATCCTCATCACTCCATGTGACGTTGAGAGACGTCTTCCCCTTATTAGGAATGTTAACACACTCAGACTAAATGTGACCGTAACCGTCGCACTCCCGGCATTGAATTTTCATATTCTTCTTCTTATCATTGGGGGAATTTGTAGCTCCCTTATTTTTCTGAAAATTATTGGAGTTGTTGAAAGTTGGAGTTTGGTTCTCCTCGTTGAACTTCTTCATCACCCTGTTGAAATTTTTAGTCAATCGAGCAAAAGACTCCGCTAAGTCTTCATCTTCTTCCTCAACATTATCTTCCACTTCGGCTTGGAAAGCAATCCCCTAAGAAATCTCATTCTCCTTCTTATTTTGACTCAGATTCATTTCAAATGTCCTCAGTGATCCATCAATTCATCAAGTCTCATAGTCTCAGTGTTTTTCGCCTCTTCAATAGCAGTGACTTTGTAGGCAAATCTCTGTGGTAACGATCTCAACGTCTTGCTAACAAGTTTTGCCGTAGGAATTTTTTCACCAAGAGCAAAGGATTCATTAACTATATCACACAATCGTGAATTAAATTCAGAAATAGTTTCAGTTTCAAGCATACGAAGAGTTTCGAACCTGGTTGTGAGCATATTCAATTTTGATTGTCTGACCGCAGCTGTTCCTTCATGAGCCATGCTTCTTTTACCGATTCACACGTGGATATCATCTTAAACTGATTAACATCAACTCCATTGAATATTGCATTGAGTGCACGTGAGTTGTAGTTGGACAACCTGTCTTCATCAGTGCTCCATGACTCTTCAGGCTTTAGAGTCTCTTTCTGCATCCTTAGTTACAGGATGCTTCCAGCCAGTCAGGACTGCATGCCATGCTTTTTCATCCTGAGCCTTGATGAAAGCCTTCATCCGAGCCTTCTAATAAGAATAATTTGAGCCATCGAGGAGAGGTGGGCGTGATACCGAACCTCCTTCCTTCAAAAAATCCATCTCAGACGTTGCAGATCAATATTTCTAAGATCTCACTGAACTTCTGGTTAGTGATCCGCTCTGATATCACTTGTAAGATCTGATGTTACGTCTGGTGTCCCAGATGATGTTGGAACACTGTCTCGAATACGGATTGATTAATTAAGATCCGGGTTAATTACGTTCAGTTTCTCAAGCAGAATAAAGTGCAGAAAGTAAAGGAACACACAATATGATATCGCAGTTCGGTGTGCACACCTACATCTGCGGGGCTATGACCAGACAGTAAAAAATTTCACTATGTTCCAAAAATTACAAACACCGGACGAACTTATTTACTTAAGGACTCCCTCCTAGACAATAACGCCGCTGTGATGAATCTCTACAGTGATTGTTTAGCGTACACCACACGTCTTCTATTCACTTGACGAACTCCCTTCGACCGGCAAAACTTCTTCCCGAAAGCAACAAATCCCTCTCCCGAAGGACGATCTCAATAACTCATAAAAACTCACATACGTCTCTCTGAATATTTTCTCAGTAGTAAGCTCTCAAATTCACCGACTTTTCCTCTAGAGATATTCTATTAAATCCCTGTCACATATGCTCTGAAACAAAGCTTTTTAAATAAAGTTAAGAGAATCTCATTCAAATCCACTCTTGATAAGTTCTCTATTATCTCCATGATTCTCTCTCCTAGATGGGCTCCAAAATATCTTCACGTTATCTTCACAATCTCCAATTTAAATTAGGCATCAAACTTCTAAATCCGAATTAGTTATCCTCATTACAAGTTAACACTTGATCTCCACGTGTTCTTCATTAAGCACGGAAAACTTTCTTTTATCCAAATCACACGAACACATCTAAATCTCAAATAACCAAACCAATTATTCCACTTTTAAAACACAACACCGTCATGTATAATTACCATGTATATATATATATATATATATATATAAAGCTCTTGCTTTTGAACTTCAAATATCAAACGGATTGCACATTCATTTGCAAGACACGTAGCTCCATTGACTCTATTTTCCATATGATCTCCAATAACACTTTTCAATCTCAAATTCGGATTGTACATCAAATTCAACAAATCCAAATTAATGCCAACTTCAATTCCCACAAGTTGGATAAGCTGCAAATATCAAAACCATATCTCCTTTATCTCTTTCTAGAATCTCATTTAAATTCAAATAACCAATGCATTATCTTCCTTTGACCAAGGCTTTATCCTTATCTCTCCAAATCTGATTCTGAATCTTCTTCTGCAATACGAAATCTTCTTGAACCTATTTTTTAAATTTTTACAAGATTGCCAATAAATTGCCAACTAATAAAAATACCTAACATTTAAACTAACTGCAATTATGTTAGTAATTTTATGTTTTTAGCTAAAATAACTTACAAACATTATGGCCGTGTTTAGAGTTGATTTTATTTTTATTTTTCATGTTTTTTGAGAAAGAAAAAATAAAAACGAGAGAGAAACGACGTTTGACATAATTAAAGACAAAAACCATAAATGAAAATAATTTTTTAGTTTAGTGTAAAATGGGAGAGAAATAAAAAATGACTTTTAGTCGTTTTTCATTTTTTGTTTTCGTTTTCTTCTCATAGAGAGAGACATTAATTGATTTTGTTATACTAAAAATAATATCTTAATAAAACTACTAAACGCATTTTCAAAAATGATTTCTGTCTAATATTGAAAACATTTTCATTTACGTTTTCATACAAAAAATAAAATTATTTTAAAACGAGTTATAAACATACCCTATATGTTTTCGCAAATTACAAACAAGTAAGAATGTGACATAATTGGCCAAGACCTATGACTACGTTGACGCTCAATCTTTATCGGACAAGCAAGATATTACTTACAGGGCGTTTGGTATGCAGGAATCAGTAAGAATCATGGAGGGTAATATGATTCCTAAGAATAATACATTACTATGTTTAGTTCCATACATGAATCTTTTTCAAATTCCCAGGAATATTATATTACTGTATTTGGTTGTTTGCATGGAAGAAGATCCATAATAATAATAATAATATTATTATTAATAAAAATAAAAATAATAAAAATAATGATATTAGTATTAATATTAATATTAATAAATATAATAATAATAATAATAATAATAATAAAACTAATAATAAAAATAAAAATATTAT